TTGCCACCATTTTGGATCCCAAAATGGTGGCAGACATCGATTTTGGGCCTATACACGTCGTCCCCATTAAAAGTCTAAAGCAAAGGCCACCATCTTCAATTTCAAAATGGCGTCTGGCATCGATATCTGATCTCTACACGTCATTCCCTATCCAAAATCAATACCCATATTTTGGAATTTGACAGTTTTTATTGAACCGTTGCCCGCTTGCTTCGATTCCAAATTGGGCCTTGAATCCGAGGGGGGCGACACATCTAAATCTCAAGTTTAGATGCTCAACAAATCTCACACTAGCGTATCCATCTTCGAACAATCTTCTTTCATTTGTCGCATCTACTTGCATCGCTCATCAATTTTTTGCAGGAAATCTTCAGAATCGTCATCAATCTTCTTTCTATCTACTCAGCGTGCGCGCAGCTAGCCACAGCAAAACACAATCTTTTTTGCATCGTAGATAGAGTCGTCCCCCTCGCTTGAATCGATATCCAGCCTCTACACGTCATCCCCTCTCCGAAAATACCCATATGTAGGTTATTTTACAGTTTTTCTTGAACCGATCGCCACCATCTTGGATTCCAAAATCGGCATCGGTTTTGGCCTCTACACGTGATATATTTTCTGGAAATACCCATATTGTAGGGTATTTGACAGTATTTCTTGAATTGATGACCGCCATCTTGGATTTTAAAATAGCTTCCGAAATCGACTTACAGCCTCTCTACACGTCATCCCTATTCCGTTTGGTGTCCTCACATTGCAAGGCAACATCTTATATGGACAAGCGTTCCAGGCATAAAATATTAAGGAAGTTCATGTGCGCACTAGCACCGCGTAGTGAGAGAGTTCTTAAATAATATGACCACCATCCGAAAGGACTTGGTCCCCTGAACAACTTTGCTCAAGACAGCATCGTTCTATATGGCCATGTTCTCGAGATACAATTTATATAGGAAGTTCGCATGCGCACTAGCGCTGCGTACTGAGAGATTTCTGAACTAATATGAACACCATACAAAAGAACATGATCACCTGAACAACTTTGCTGAAGACAGAAACTTTCTATATGGGCAGGATCACGAAATATTCTATGTTGGACCTATGATCCATATATTATAGCACCCGTCATAAGTAACATAAAAGTGTAGCGCTTCTAGCGGCGTAGTTCCCAATTAAACTTGAATCCAATTACACAGGCTTGTTGGTCTATCCCAGTACAACAGCTTTGTCGAAGACAGTATAGCTCTATAATCTACACTTCTGACATTCCTCCCCTCGGAGACGATTGCGTGTTCTTCCTGTTCGCAGATGATACCGCAATAACCGTCAAGGGTAGGATAACTCGCGAAATAACAAACAAGCTCCAACGATGTCTTGACGCCTTTGCAGATTATGACACCACGTGGAAAATCAAAATCAATGCCTCCAAAACACAAACAATCGTGTTCCTCCATCGGCAATCACCCAAACTAAAACCGGCTCCCTCTTGTACTGTAATCATGAAAGTCTGCCGAAGTTACCTATTTCGGGATGTTGTTTGACGAAGAGCTCCTATTCCGCTCGCATGTGGAGACAACCGTAGTCAAGTGTTCCGCCTTGGTTAGGTGTATGTATCCGCTGATTTGCCGTACATCCCGCCTCTCAAGGGTGAACAAACTGGCTGTCTACAAACAAATTATAGTAATCATGTGCACAGACTCACAGGAACAAAATCCAGGCGCTCTGAATAGACTGCTTAGGATGATCCTTGATCGTCCCTTTGACACAAGAATTTCAGACCTCCACCAAGAGGCGAACGTTCAAAATTAAGGCCCAAGCGCAATGACAGCGGAAGCGGAACGGCCGCGGCAGCGGAAAAGCCCGATCTGAGTAGGCCTACTTGTCGGATTGAAAACTAGTTAGAACCAAATCGACTTCGGTTAGGCATTTGATGTCATTTGTGACAACTGTCAAACTTTCCGTTTCCGTTCCGCTTGCGCCCATATTGCGCTTGGGCCTTTAGATTTCAAAATTGATGACATTAAGACTACACACTTAGAAAAAATCACGTAAATTTAGGTGCTTTGAGACTGACATATACGAGCGTCAATTTTGACATAAAATTGAGTAATAACAGACGCGAAATTCAACTCAATCAAACGTACTTTTAGTCGAGTAACGAACTTTTCAGTCTCGGGGCCCTTAATTTTACATGACTTATTTGTTTACGTCTGATCCTTTATGTCAAATATGGATTCCGTCACGTGTAAAATTAGTTATTTCTAAGTGTGTAGGTTTGTGCAGAAATAGGTGTATATAGTAGTTATAGGTTAGTTGTAGTTGTAAATAGTAGTTATAAGTAAGTCATCACCCGACAGTCGAGCAAATCGGAGCTCGGTGAACGTCCCGAAGAAATGTGCTCAACTTTTTGGCTCAGCTCTGGTACTATCTTCGGTCCCAAGCTAATCGATGCACCTCTCGAAACATAGGAACCCCTGATTTTATCTGTCAAACTTTCATAGCGAATCAGAACAAACATAGTATAGTACTAGAACGATTTTAAATTGGCTCACTACTTGACTAGCCTATTGGCTCCAAGCAAATCGATTAACGTACCCCATTCCAGTCGAAATTCTAGTACTCATGGATTTTCCTATATTTCGAGGGGTGAATCGATTAGCTTGGGACCGAAGATAGTACCAGAGCTGAGCCAAAAAGTTGAGCACATTATTTCGGGACCTTCTGGTCTTAGAGTTACCTCTATGGTGAAGCTCTAGGATCAGTTCCACACATTGACCACTCTTCCGGATTTTTCGGATCTTCCGGAGGACGGTCTGATGGCCATCTGAGTCCTTGATTATGTCACGATCCCAAATTCATTCTAATATCACAAACATAGTGTAGTACTGAAATTTATACTAGAATGGGGCACGTTAATCGATTTGCTTGGGACCAATAGGCTAGTCAAGTGGTGAGCCAATTTAAAATCTTTAGTTTCGTATTGATTGTTGGCTCCACGGTTTTTTCGAAAACACTTGGAACTGTCATATATAAATTAATTTGCGATCGTGACATAAACATGTACCTAGAAGGCCATGAGACTGTCCTCCGCAAGATCTAGAACATCTTTTATAATGGTCAATCCTCGAAACTGATCCTATTGTTCTACTTTTTTTTTCGAAAGCATGTGGAACATGGACCAAAATGGCCATGGGGCCATCTTCTGGTAAGTCCAGAATTTCCGTAAAAGAGGTCAATCAATGAAACTGATCCTAAAGCTCCGCATTTTTTTTAACAAAAACATTAGGAACTGTGATATTTGTGGTCGTGACAAAAACATGAACCTGGATGGCCATAGGAAGATACGGAAAATCCGTAAAAGTGATCCAGTGGTTTCTCATATCACAGTGTTTAAAAAAGAACTGCAGAGCTCTAGGATCGATTCGCGAATATGAACCCATGAGTCCCGGCTGGTATGATGACCTTCTAGGTACATGTTTATGTCACGACCGCAAATTAATTTATATATGACAGTTCCAAATGTTTTCGAAAAAACCATGGAGCTCTAGGATCAGTTCCATACATTAACCACTTTTACGGATTGTTTGGATCTTCTGGACGACGGTCCGATGGCCATCTGGGTTGATATTTATGTCACGATCCCAAATTCATTCTAATATCACAGTTCCTAACGTTTTCAAGAAAACCACGGAGCTCTAGGATCAGTTTAGTGAATTTTCCACTTTCACGGATGTTTCGGATCTTCCGGAGGACGGTCTCATGGCCATCAGGTCCATGTTTATGGCACGATCCCAAATTAATTCTATCATCTCAGTTCTTAGTGTTTTTCAAAAACTACGGAGCTCTAGGATCAGTTTCATGGATTGACCACTTTCACGGATGTTCCGGATCTTCCGGAAGACGGTCCCATGGACATCCAGTTTCATGTTTATGTCACGACCCCAAATATTTGTTTATAACACAGTTCCTAATGTTTCCAAAAAAAAACGCAGATGTTCCGGATGTTTTGAGGACCGTTCCGTTGTCTCCAGGATCCATATAGGAACCACTTCTGGCTAATTATGAACATTTGTGCCCATTAATCTAAATTACAGATCTTGCGCCACTTGCAAAACCCTACAAACACATTTTTCAAAAAACCGTGTAACAACACTTTTTACTTTTTAAAAAAGTAGACGACTCTATTTTCAGTCTTTTTGCAATCAAAATCATCTAAAAACTCTAGAAATTCTAAAGGTACCACAAGTTTTGAAATTCATTAAGAAATGGCTAAGTTTTATGTCATTGCAAACTTGCCGTTACACGTTTTTCGGACGCATTGTATTCGGAGTGTTAATCGATTTGCTTGGGACCAATAGGCTAGTCAAGTAGTGAGCCAATTTAAAATCTTTGCGTTTCAAGCTTATTGCTTATCGCATATTAGCTTATTGCTTGCTGTCAACTTAGTGTTCTAGATGCACTTCCACATTTATTAATTGAGAGCCTTCGATGCCTGTACTATTTTTGCATTAGTATAATTGTGTGGCAAGTACCATCATACTCTATGCCCAGGGAAGTCGAGAAATTTTCCAGCTCGAAAAATGTCTAGACCGGACCGGGAATTGAACTCAGCCACCTCCAGCATGGTCTTGCTTTGTAGCTGCGCCTTTACCGACTGAGCTTAGGGAGGCCCCATATTACATTGTTCTACAACGTGAAAGTTGGGAAGCATTCAGGACGTTCGGATTAAACGTAAATCGAGGACAAAATTAAAACACCACCGCTTCATGACATCCTGTTTCAACATTGAAGAAGCGAAAATGTGCCCCATTTAATAATTGTTTCTTTATTTGATTTTCTGTTTCATTTACACATTTAAAAACTTCGTTTCTGGCCATTTTTGTTGTTGTTGCGAAAATGCAGATAGTTTCCTCCGCTCTATTTATACATACACAATTATTTACACAGTCAGTTTTCTTTGCATTCTTTGATACCTACTAGTTATGTATATAAAATAAGAATAGTTTGTTCTACCGGTTGGGTTTCACCGTTCATTAAAAAGTGCTTTCAGCGGTGTGACTCCTCTTGCTCGCTTGCTTATTGACACACATCCAGGCGGATTTTGTTTTGTTGGTGGCATTGGCGGTGGTAGCGGTGGTTGCAGCGGCGGCGACGGTTTCCAATTTTTTTTTATAATAATTGTCTCGTTTGCGCGTAAAATTAAACTAAAGCTCGCTCTCGCTGTGCGCTTTTGCAGCACTTGTTTGATTCTCTCCTTCTACTTTTACTATTGTGTTTTGTTTTTTGTTTTTTTAGGTTTAGTTTTACTCCAGTTGTGCTCTAAAACAACACAGCGTTCCGTTTTCGAGAAAGTTCTTGTACGTACTTGCCGCAATCTGGTTGGTTGGTTTCATGAAAAGTCTTCCCCGAAGGGTAGGATCCTCAAAGGATTGCGTCTCGTTAAAAAATTAACCACAGCTAAATTCTCTAATATCACGTTTTACGTTCCTTATTATTGCCATAGTCGTCTTCGTCCTCGTTGTTGTTGTTGTTTTTGTTGTTGTTGTTGTTGATGATGTTGTTATTGTTGAGATTGTACCTTTTCGGTGGATCCTCTTCACGTTTAAGTAGCTCCTTCACCTTGTGCTCCCACATCTCCGGATTGGAGCGAACCTGAAACAATGGAAAGGTGCGTTTAGTATTTAGAGTGCTTCCGTTGGATCTCCAGATGCCCCTCAATTTTGTTTGATAATGTTTCCAACTTAGAAAATAAAAACTTTATTTTTCTTATTACGATATCTTTAAGAACAAATGTTTATGATGCCAACTAAAATTTTATTTTGGTTCATTGTTCTTCAAAAAATATGTATGTAGGGCAAGGTGGGGTAATATGACCAACAACTTCATACACCCTGTACACTAATGGCGGTAAACTCCAACTCGGATTAACTTCTAATACCGTCCCTGTTTGGATGATCTGCGAAGTGTTTGCATAACATCGTGTTGAATAACTCTGATGTCGACATCAAAGCAGCCGGACATTCTTGATCGGGATTTAATCCGAGGATAATACCGATTGGAGCTTACCGCCATAAGTCAATCAAGCCCAAAACTGCATGGTGACCAGCAAATTCTGATTAGAAATTTCCCTGATTTTTCCGGACTTATGGAAATCTTCTCGGTTGTGCCATATACATATAAAATAAGTTTAAAATCGAATGCAATTGCGCCGAAAGGATCACTAGGTTAAATAAGTCGATAGTGATACAGGTTCTAGGACAAAAGATCTAAGGGACAAAAGGTTGAAGGAACAAAAGGTCGAATTGAACTTAGAAGGACAAGATTTCGAATTTATCTTAGAGAGACAAAAAGTCGAAGGACAAAAGGTCAAAAGGACAAAAGTTTGAAGGGACAAATGGTCGAAAGGACAAACTGTCTAAATGGACAAAAAGTCGAACGGACAGGTGGTTGAAATGGACAAAAGGTCGAATTTAACTAAGAAGAAGAAAAGGTCGAATTTAAATTAGAGAGACAAAAAGTCGAAAAGACAATAGTTCGAAAGGACAAAAGGTCGAATTGAACTTAGAGGGACAAAAAGCGGAATTGAACGTATAGAAACAAAATGTCAAAATGGAAAAAATATCGAATGGAAAAAATGTCTAATGAACAACAGGTCGAATGGACAAAAGGTCGAAATGGATGAACTGGTCAAATTGTTGAACGATAAAATGGGTGGCTTTAACCCTGTAATGGAGACCTTTGAAGCAATGTCTTAAGCATTTGATGTCCACTGTCACAGTACCTTTATATTGGATTATTTTAGGTCTTAAATTCGGACTTTACCGAGGGGGGCGACACATCTAAACCTCAATTCTAGATGCTCGAAAAATCTCACACTAGCGAATGAATCTTCGAAAAATCTTCTATCATTTTCCGCATCTACTTGCATCGCGCATCATCTTTTTTGCAGGAAATCTTCAGAATCGTCACCAATCTTCTTTCTATCTACACAGCGTACGCGCAGCTAACGACTGCAAAACAAAATCTTTCCTGCATCGCAGATGGAGTCGCCCCCCTCTGACTTTACGTAGTTGGAAACCCGAGGGGTGGGACAGTAACGAATCTAGAGCTATCTAGAATTACTCTGAGAAACTCTCTTGCCCTCTGAGCAAACTAGTGGATTTTTGCAAAAGGTCTTATTAATTTCTGGACAACAATTCGAGTTTAAGGTTCGTTTAAGGCATTCTGAAATGTTAAGCTTGATATTTAACCTCGTTTGTTTTGAAAATGATGAACAGCAGCAGAAGACTTATATTGCACCGTGGATGATTTTAACTGTCTTGAATACTAAAATCCGAATCGATATGCAGAATAATTTATCGTCGACATCGGAGTCACACTCAGGACCGATGGGAACAGGTCAAATAAACATAATAGCGAATTTGTTTATTATTCAGTTCCAACCTGTATCGAGTATCAAGATCGGCTCTGCTTGTTTTCGGATAAAAGTCAGTTTGATCATTTGTTTTTAAAACCATCCTAAGATTGAGGTAAGCACTGACAAAAAGGTCGGTTTCACGATAATAAACAAATTCGCCAAAGACTTATCTGACGTTTGTGAATTGCACAAGTATTAGTGGAGAACCTTGGGTAAATTTCTTGCACTAATACATATAATTTACCCCGAGTTCTGCACTAATACTTGTGCATTTCACAAACGTCAGAGAAGTCTATAAGAGGAAGAGGAGAGCAGAAACGACTATATCTCGCGTAACGTTTGAAAAGGGCCTTCAACTAAAATGTAAACAAACCAAAAAAATGAATGGTAAATAATCTCTGTCTTTTTCTTGGCCTTTTTAATCATTTTAATTCTTATCTTCCATATCATTTGAAAAGGTCCTATAACCAAAATATTAGCAAACCAGAAAATGGATTGTAAACAATCTGCAATTTTATACGGTATCTCAGCACAGAACACCCAAATAATACATGGTTGGCCGTTTTAGCGTGCGGGCCTTGGCGCGGACCAATGAATGATTCGAAAAATTTCTTGATAGTCCGATTTGAAAATTGAGTTATATATAACGACTTTTCCCGGTTATGCGGAACATTCCTTCACGATTTGTAGCTAACAAGCGGTGCTATAGAATGGTATCAAAAACCGATTTGATGACATTTTGATTATAGGCCCTTTTCAAATGCTACGCGAGGTATACCTTGTTCCTTATTTTTCCCGATGTCAGAGTTACTCTGAGTAACTCTCAGGCAGGCTTGATGGAGCCTCGCTCGCGAGTTTGAAATGAGCCGAGCGTAGCATTTTTCTGAGGAGTAAAATGCCTACTGCCAAATCATTCCATCGAGCTTCAGAGCTTGTAAGCGAAGGGGGATAAAATGAGAGTGAGGTTTGCTGCCCTTCATGTTCATGTTTTCTATCACACGCTCTTACCATAGAGGTAACTCTAAGACTAGTAGGTCCCGAAGAAACGTGCTCAACTTATTGGCTCAGCTCTGGTACTATCTTCGGTCCCAAGCTAATCCATTCACCCCTCGAAACATAGGAAAATCCACTAACCCCTCATTTTATCTGTCAAACTTTCATAGCGAATCAAAACAAACATGGTGTAGTACTGGAATTTTGACTAGAATGGGGTACGTTAATCGTTTGCTTGGGACCAATAGGCTAGTCAAGTAGTAAGCCAATTTCAAATTAATAGTTTCGTATTGATTGTTGCTCTCACTCTGGGTGAACTCTGAGCTTCTTGCGTCGAACAAAAAAGTCATCCGGAGTCTCGAAAAGCGCACCTCACGCCAAATCATCCTCTCGCTGAAGTTCACTCTCCCTCTATTTCGATGAGTATTTGTTTACTTCTTCCATATTCCTGTCGCCGCACACTCGAGGTGAGGGCTGGCTAAACTCGCTGGACAAGATTGTTTTTAAAACCTCCAGTGAGTTTGAGGAGTTTCAGCAAGCCTGCTCTCAGGTAAAGAGACATTCGCATTAAAGCCGTCCTCCCCCTTGTGGAAACCTGGAGTGCGTATGAACACCCCACCATGCAATTTTTCTGTCAGAAGGACGGAGAGAAGGACTGTTGGATGGAGGACAGATAAATTAAAAAATCTCCCGCTAGGCAGCGCTAGTGAGCATCCCACATATTATGCACTGCTGTATCTCAAGATCCTGATCATTTAGACGGGTGATGTTTTCGGCAAATTTGAACAGGAGGCAATATACTACCGGGAGATGGACATATCAAGTCGGATTTCTGCCGCTAGACGGTGCTAGTGTGAATGCAAATATTCTGTACTGCTACACTTCCAGATTCTGATTATATAGAAGGGTGATGTTTTCGGCAAAATCGATCAAGAAGTCAAGGCCTGCTGGGAGGTGAACATATCAAATCGGAATTTTCCCAGTAAGCAGCATTAGTGAGCAAGCAAATATTCTGTAAGTGCTGCTGTAACTCAAGATCCTGATTATTTAGAAGCATGATGTATTCGGCAAAGTTGATCTGGAATTCAAGGGCTGGTGGAAAGTGAACAGATCAATTCGGAATTTTCCTAGTAGGCGGCGCTAGTGAGCATGCAAGTCAATGGTATATGAGCGAATTGAATCTGAAATTTCTTTGACAGATTCGGTTCTAAAGTCACCACGCTTTACTCCGAACCTACGGCCATCAGATCAACCGGTACACAGTGGGAAAAATTCGGCAATGATTACCCTTAATTGATTTTCTCAAAACACAAACGGTCCCAACCTATAGAAGAGCACTTTTCATATGTAAAAATGTCCAGGAAATCAATTCCGCTAGATCTCGTAGACGGCAGTTTTACCCCAATTTTCATACATATAAGGTTAGCTAAGAATTTCAACATTTTCTCAAAACGCAAACGATTGCAACCTTAAAATAGCATTTTTCGAATGCAAAAATTTCCAAGGAATCGGTAACAGTAGGTATAAAATACGGCAGTGGAAAGAGTGGAACCGATATGAGAAACCACTACTTGGAGTTTGATGGACTGGTGAGGAAATTGAAGATGACTGGTGCTACCCTGGTTGAGGCAGATTTGGTGTCGCAACTCTTCTTAACGTTGCTGGAATCGTATGATCCGCTTTTGACGGCCCTGGAAAACGTGACGGAAAAGGATTTACCGTTTGATCTCGTCAAGCCACGGCTATCGGCTGAGGAGACAAAGCGAACGGACCGCCAGGACACAAGCAGTAGAAGTTCACCGGAAAGTTCCATGCATGCGGTAAACGGAGACACCTCAAGAAGGATTGCCTTAAGCAAAGTAAAGGCGAAGCGTATTTCGTGAGTTTTATGGCAGAGGAAACCTTTTCGAAATAGAGCTGGGCCGTTGTGCAAACGTTTGCGATGTGGGAACCGGAAAGCTGTGGCATCGACGCTTAGGCCATATTAGTCAGCATGGGTTGGAAGCGATGGCCCAACAAGGTGTGGCATGAAAAAGGCACCGAAGATCGGCATCTGTGAATCATGTGATGAAGGTAAGCAATGTCGTGAGCCTTTCAACGGCACAAGGAACCGCGCAACTCTCATGGGAATGGGTCTCGATATTTTGTCAGCTTTATCGATGACTACAGTCACTTTGGGATGATGTATCTGCTGAAGAGGAAGTCGCAGGTTTTCGAACGGTTTCAAGGAGTATGAAGCTGC